TTCTTCTATTCTTTCTTTCTTTTTTGTTGTAGATGGACACAATACCTTTATTTTATTTATTTATTTTTATGTGGAGCTGAAGATCAAACCCAGAGCCTCACACATGCCAGGCAAGTGCTCTACCATTGAGCCACAACCCCAGCACCAATTCTTCTATTCTTTAAATAACAAAGTCTCAGGAATTTTGTCATTGCAACAGAAAACATGTATATTACAACAATAAAACATAAAGAGGTAAAAGAGAATTTCTGTTAGGTGGAAATATTTATTGCAAAGAAAACATGAAGCATGCTTGAGATGGGCAAACTCCTGGAGTCAGTTGTCTACAAGTGTCAAGATAATCAGTGAAATGGGAAAACTCCTTTGCCATGAAGAAGGGGGGGAATATATATTTTTTTTCTTAAAAGAAGGAGTGTGACCAGGTTCAATGGCACACTCCTGTAATCCCAGCTACTTGAGAGACTGAGGCAGAGGATCATCGTTCAATATTATCCTTGGCAACTTAATGAGATCTTGTCTCAAAATAAAAATAAAAAGTTCTCAGGGCTATAGTCACTGGTAGAGTGTTTGCCTAGTGGGCACATGGTTCTGGGTTCCATCCCCAGCACTGCAAAAAAAGGAAAAAAGAAAAAAAAAAAGAGAATGTCAGCTTCCTGATACTGCAACAAAATACTGTTGATAACCAGTTTATAAGGAGGAAAGGCTATTTTGGCTCACAGTGTTAGAGGTTCCAGTCCATGGTCGTTTGTTCCATTGCTTTGGACCTATAGTAGCACAGTACTTTTTACCAGGAGTATGTGATGGAAGAGACTGCTCACCTTATGGCAGCTAGGACATGAAGAGAAAAAAGGGGAAGGGGCTAGGGTTCCAATACCCCTTCAAGGGCATATCCCCAGTGACCCTACTTCTTCCCGCTAGGCTTCATCTCTTAAAGGATCCACCACCTCCAAAGCCCTTTACACATGGGCCTTTATGAGATGTTTATCCAAACCATAACAAGAAGAAAAGAGAAATAGGAGGCAGAGGAGAGTGCCAAAGTTGAAAGGAGCCAGGGAGAGTGAGAAAGTCTGGGGTTTGATCAGGGAAGTTCGCCAAGGCTCCAGAGAGAGAGAGAGAGAGAGAGAGAGAGAGAGAGAGAGAGGACACCTCGAGAACTGTGATTTTTAGTGTTCTTCTGGAAGTTGTTGGTATTTTTGTATTGTGAGGTCTCTCATCCATTCTTTTCCCTCCCTTCTAGCCTCTATTAAAGTCTACTAATTTCAAAATGTTTTGTGCTTTATATAGGAGGGATTTTGAGAATGTTAGAGTGGAGTGGGGCAAAGAGAGAAGTACATATAAAAAGAGGGATTAGGAGAACAGGATTTGCATAAATCTTTAGATTTCTTTCTTTGGAAATGTGTTGGATTTCCACAGGCCATACTAGCATATTCCAGAGGAAGGCTCTGCTGACATGAAGGTTAAACTACTGACATTTCAGTAACCTTGAAATACTGATGAAAGTTATCTACCTATGCAGTAAAAGGGAGGGAATCTGGTTCCCTCAAGATCACTACAAAAACAAACAAACATTTAAGAATATAGTTACCAATGCCCTTGGATACAGAATTTACTTCCCTAATATAGTAACCAAGCCTTTTCTAGGACACATTAATTTCCTCCACATTTTATCTGAAAATTTCTGAAGAAGACAGATGCTTATAACAAAGAGCAATTATAAAATGTTCCCCTTGCAAAGTCTGTATATTAGAATGAAGGCAATATCTGTAAAGAACAGAGGCAAAAATCTGTTCTCTTTTGTTCCAGTTCCATGCCACTCTTCTGGCCCAGTTATTTGAGTAATGACAGGTATCACTGTAGGTGCTCTCCTCTCTCACCTCATGTCTCTGCTTACAAATGTGTCCCTGTTCATATAGGAATGATGTCACTGACCCCATCTTGCTGGGACCCAGCACTGACTGAATCTCCTAATCCAATGGCATGATTGTTGCTGCTGTACCTGATAGAAGGGTCAGCAGGTGCCTGAGACAGGGGCAAGGATTGCCTGCAGAGGTGGGGAAGGCTGTCTCCTGAACCGAATCCCATTGGCACTGGGCTTTCTCCCACGGAGCTCGCTGATCTTTCACCATTCAGACCACAAAAAGCCGGAAGCCATCTGTTTTCTTCTGTCACTTATCTCTGCATTCCAAGTTTCCTGGGAGAGTTTCCAGGAGTTTCAGATCACAGAGCTTGTCATTAGCTCCAGGCACTGCTGGGACTCATGAGACCCTAAATGGGCTGGGGACTGTTTGGGACAGGAGATGCGAGCAGGCAAAAATGGAGAGTATTCCATAGCCACAGTGACCACCATCTGTCCAGCATTTGCCTTGTGCCAGGCACTGTTTTAAACCCGTGTGTGCCTGGTCTTTTTTGCTCCTCACTACAATACTGTAAGTGGGAATAGCAATCCCATTCTCTGATGAAACAACTGAAGTTTACAGAGGGTACACACTCCATCACTGGTTAATTTAGAAGGTTGGTATGATCCCGAAACTTATGCTCTTGATACTATCCTGCTTCTTTTTCTGGATTTGGGGGTACCATGTCAAAATCTGTTGTCACTTAAAATCCTGAGAAGGGAGAATGGGGTTCCCATCCTCATTATTTTATAGGGCAAGTTGTTCTCAACTTTCAAGACTCTGGGTCTCTGGTGCTATTTTGGGTTCTTTGGTTGGGAAATCTGCTTCTGCTAAGAATTAGGGGATGTGGAGAGTTCTCCAACTTCTGGACAGCTCTTAGTCCAGGTGATCTTCTAAGGAACCTGGAGGAAAACTCTCCCAAGTGCTTTCACACACTGAATCTCCCCCATAATATTGGTAGGATCACAAATAAAAATACCTGATGTCCAGTTAAATTTGAATTTCAGGTGAGTGTATGTATGTATGTGTATATATATATTTGCATTACATATGTAATTTGCCTCCTAGTTTATTTTGCCTCAAAACCCTCTCTCAGTCCTAGATCACTCCATTCTCAAGACACCAGAAGGTACTTCCTTGGCACAGTGTTCAGGTTTCTCTAAGCCAAAACTCCTTCTGTGGGTACTCTCTGCGTACCTCCTGCCAGGCTTGTACATCTGCTGATGCTTGCAGCCCACTGTGTCCCCAGTCTAACAGTGAAGTCTGGGCAACCTCAGATAGAGTTGGAGACCTGGCTTAAAGATTTGCCATTGTGGTGGTGTTGGGAGGTAGGGCCTTAAGAGGTGATTAGGTCATCAAGAGGGATTAATTCCTTTCTCATGTGAGTGTCTAACACGAGGTTTCCCCTTGCATTATCTGTCATTTGCAAGTGCCACTTGCCCTTCTGATTTCTTCCATCAGTTGAAGCAGCATGGGATCCTCACCAGAAGCTGAGTGGATGCTAATATGATGCTCTTGGACTTCCTGGTCCTCAGAACCATAAGCAAAAATGAACCTCTATCCTTATCAATTTCTCATTCTATTTGAGCAACAGAAAATTGACCAAGATAAATGCTTATGCAATATTTGAGATATAGCTATACTAAAACAGTATGTATTGTTTATCTGACATTCAGATTCAACTGTGCATCCTGTATTTTATTTGGAAATCTTGGACACAGGGTCCTCTAAGGACTAGCCTGAGCAGCTGTGGATGCTGACAGGTGTCTGAAAACTCAAGGGGCATATTTTGGGATGAAATTCTGAACCTCATCATTAACTGACAAGTTATACTCTCTCAGGTGAATAATTTACTCTCTTTAGGTTTCAGTTTTCCCAATTGGCCAATTGGGACTATTACTTTACTTGAGAACCACTTCACTTGTGTTGTGAGGATTGCATAATAATATATTACTATGTGCTAAACATATGCTATTACTTTGCACATATCATCTCATTTAATCACCACAACAACCATCTGAAGTATAGTATTTCAGTTTTATAGCTGAATAAACTGAGGCACTTATAGTTTAAGTAACTTGTCTAAAATTAAATCTAGTAACTATTGGAGCCAGAATTCAAGCTCAGGAAGACTTGTGCCAGGGCCTGCTCACTTGTCAGTAGGCTACAAAATTAGGGAGAAACATTAGGTAAAATGGTAAGTAGAATATTTAACACAAAATAAGCATGACACATAGTAGCTACCATTATTTTAACTTTGAACTTGAGAAAATTGTCAAGTGCAAAGATGGTACATTGGCTGGGTGTACCTCAATTGGTAGAACTGGTGATTAGCATGCATGAGGCCCTGTGTTGAAAAAAAAGTATATAAAGAAGAAAAAAATGTGTTTTCTTTCTTCTTATTCTTTGTGTGAGTGTTTTTCAAAATTTCCACAAAATCTTATACTTGTAATCAGGAAAAAAATATTGAAAGAAAAATCACAATCTTACAAGGAAGAGATCTTAGGTGGGTGAGGCCAGATGAAAAAAAATCAGGTTTGGGGATTTAGCCTGAAATTCCACTTCCCTGTAACAAACGAAGTACAGAGTATCTGAATATAAATATAAAAATCTCTGGGGCAGTGCAAGCCTGGGCCTGAAATTCAAGTCTTGATGAAGATGCTATTTATTGCAGCCACCTCTGTAGTAGATGCTTAGTACATTAGCAAAGGGGAGGTCGGCCCCTAGGAACGTCCAAGACCCTTCTGCCTACCTAGGCCAAGTCTGAAAATCACTTGACATTGAACACTGCCCACTTACGTGTGGCCTGGGGCATTATTTGGGTGACTGGATTCTGGTGACTCCTTCGGTGGCTGAGGGTGGGTCCCAGGCCTGGGCCGGGGTTGGCCTTTGCTGGGCATTGTGGGGGTCACCGTTCCAGTCTCCTTGGCAACCTAAACCTGAGGGAGCGGCCGCGGGGCACAACCCGTCGGGAGGCCTTGGAAGAGGACGCAAAGGGCCCTTTCGTGCCCCGAGGCCGCCGCAGAGTTGCCCAGCTCGTCAGCTCCCGAGACTTGGGCCCTGGCCGCCCGTCCAGCGCGCTCCGCGGAGAGGTCGAGGCCCAGCATGGCGGACGAGGGTCCCGGCGGCCCTCTGCGCGGCGGCCTGCAACACGAGCTGCTGCAGAAGATAGTGCGCCCCAAGCGGAGTGGCCCGCAGCGCGGGGAGGCCGAGGCGACGGGGCGGCGTGCATCCTCCAGCGACGGCGGCGCCTGCTCCGGATGCTGGTGCTGGCGGCGGCTCTTCCGGATCTCAGCGGCGCGCGGCCCGCGCAGGAAGAAGAGCAAGTACGCGCGGCCGGGCAAGGCGACCTCAGAGCGCGGCCTGTGGGGCCACCCGAGCCTGCAGAGGCTGCTCCAGAGGCTGGCGTCCTGGAGGCGGCGCTACCTGCGATGCAGGGAGCGGCCCGAGAGGCTGGAGGAGATCCCGCTGCTGGTGCTGGATCGCGCGCAGAACCGTGACTAGGCCGCGGCCGGGCCGCAGACCTAAGGGTTGGTTTTGTTTTGTAAAACAAAAGCAAGAAATGAAAATAAACCCAACACGGTATGAACGAAAGAACGTGGATCATTGGGGACCGTGCACGAGGAACCCAGGGTGTCGCGTTGTCTGGGATGAGGTGAACTGGCCTCCTCCCCATTCCGCCCTTCTTCCCATCTGAGCGCCTCCATGCAGTGGCCCCGGCCAGGGAGGCAGTGGGCACTACCAGGACCTGTGGCGCGTTGTGGGTCAGTTATTGCCAGAAGGGACCCAGCTCAGTGAACAGGCCCAGATTTTTTCTAAACACTCCAGAGAAGAGGGTGGGAGCAGTAGTTTTCAGTCCCTGCAATGCCCTCAGGTCTTTTTTTCTTTTTAATGCAGAACTAGGAGCTCCTCAACCCTTATCTATGTGAGTTAATTCTTTTATCTTTATTTACAGGCATATAGGAAGCAGTAAAGCACTAAAAGAACATCAGAACCAAGGCTTTGGGTGGAATGGTGGTGCATATGGGGGTGGGGGGTGGGCTAAAAATAGAGATAAAAGCAAAAGGAGAGGACTCCAGGAGAATGGGTGCGTCTTAACGTCTTCCTTTTCCTCATCAATAAAAACCTGCTAATGATCCTCGGCTCTACACACACCTGTCAGGATGAAAGTCAAATCTTAGAAGTGAAAGTGTGCTAAGTACCCTGAAAGGGCTGTATTCCTTAGAAGTATTTATTAAGCTGTTAAATGATCTTTGCTGGGGCTGCTCCCAATACACACCTACCTTCTTTCTTACTGCCCGACCTGACCTGGACTGCCTTTTGTGCTAGCAGGCTAATCAGGCTGATCAATGGGCTGAGAAATTTTCTGCCTCATGTTACTGCTACCAGTGTCCAGTGGCCTTGGAGTTCCTGAAGCCTTCCCGGCAGGGGTCGACCCCCTTGACCTAGAGAATCAGTCTTTGGGGAACAGGAGGATCATGATGCTGGATCCTACATTGTGGAGGGGTGAGTGCAGTTGTAGGGGAGTGTCAAAGACAAAATTACAACATGTTTAGTTTAAAGAACTTAATTGGCTTTATTTTCTATACTGGAATCAGACAACACTTCATTCCATAAAACAGAATAAGTGTTCCCATGAGCTCAGCAAAGAAATTTGGTTTTATATATAGAAAAGAGCTGAAGAAAGAAAGAGCAGAAAGAAGATTGGTCATTTCAAGGTTACTCTGGTTGTTAGAGAAGGGAGATAAAACTTTTAAAAAAATTGGTTAACATCAGATTATTTTTTTTTAATAAGAATTAAAGCAGGGGGAACTTCATTATCATGCTTGATTGAAATAGGCCTGTTTGGGAAATTTGGGCTATTATTTCTCCTATTTTTTCAAAAGGTCAAGTGATAGTTTTGGTTTGGTGGCACTGAATTTTAGAATAAGTGACTCCGTTTTTATTTTTGGCCTGGCCTTTGGGGCCTAGTGCATGTGCTTAGCCTCAAATAATTTTTTTTTTGTTTAACAGGAGCTTCCTGGACAAGAAACCTAGAAAACTGAGAAATACAGAAAACAAAAAGAAAATAGAAGAGAAAAAAAAAAAAAAAAAGGCATAGGCTGGAAATCTGGGTCCATGAACCAAAGCCCTAAAGGGAAGAATTCTTTGTAATTCTGTGATTTGGGGTTGAGTAGTGTCTTTTGCATTTCTGTTATTTTTTGCTATTGTCCAGATAGTCTAAATTATTCTATAAGGCAGTGATAGGGAAAGACATTTTTATCAGAAAAGCCATTAAATCCCATTCTTATAAAGAAACCAATCCTATTATCTTACCTATAGCTGATTAGGCCAGGAATATTGTGATGCCAAAATTAAAAACTGTTCTGGGGGCTGAAGATGTAGCTCAGAGTTAGCATGCTTACGTAGCATGTAGGAGGTCCTGGGTTCAATCCCCAGTACCAAAAAAAAAAAAAAAAACCCAAAAATATTCTATAGGCAATAGCTTGATTAATTGAATCCTCTGTTAGAGATGTTGAATTTAAGAGGCCCAAAAAGAAGAGACCACTAGAAAAATACCAAATTCTAAATCCTCAAGTAACAGAAAGGAAGTGTTATTGAATAATATGTAACAAATTCCAACTATTTAATATTTTCTGGATTTATTTCTTTCTGAAAGGAAAAAGCCAAACTAAATCACAGCTAATTCTCTGACACTTGCTTTGAATACACCTGTGCCTTTTAATTTTGACTATTTCAGGGACTTCATAGTACTTCCTCTTCCCTGAGTAAAGAAATTGGCCAAGACCAAGTCTCAGTCTGTGTGGATTCATCTAACACCCCCCCCCCACACACACCCCCCATAACATAATGCTTAACTTATTGAGAGGACCTATTATCCTATTATGGTAACTTTTTGTTGTTGTTGTTGTTCTAGGGATTGAACCCAGGGGTGCTACCACTGTGCTATGTCTCCAGCCCTTTTTGTTTTGAGACAGGGTCTTGATAAGTTGTCTACGTTAGTCTTGAACTTTCTATCTTCCTGTGTCAGCCTAGTCACTGGGATTTCAGGTGTGCAGAACCATGCCTGGCCTACGATGGTAACTTGATGTATGTCCTCTGACTTCCTGGTTCCCTATTAGCTATCCACATAAAGCCTTACATTTTTGGTACTGCTGCCAGCCTTCCATCAGTTCCTCCTATTGATTATAATGGATCCCTCTCAGAAATGGTGGCTTCTACTAGCTCTGGTTTGTTACACTGTTAATTGTCTCCCACTGAAGCCCCAGTTCAGCAGAAACATGGATTTTGGGTGCAGAGGCTGCATCAGGCTGTTGGGACTGAGTACCTGCTGCTGTTCCCTTCTCTTCTCCCTACTCCCTCAATTCTAGGAATTGTCAGTATTTCCATCTTCCAGGGATAGTATCAGCATGCAACTTGTTCTTTCTCCTATACCCATCTTCTTTTTAGCAGAAAGTCAATTAAAAATATTTTTTCAATGCAGTGCCTCATTGTTTAGCCATTTTTGGTTGAGTGTAGATATTCCAGAAACACATCTCATGGCCAGAGGAGGTAAGTCAGGTTGAATTTTTCAGAGACTTTTGTATCTAGTCTTAGATTCTAAGCTTCAAGCCACTTTAAAGGCAAAAATGCTGGTTATAAGGAAATCCTGTACTGGAAATAGAGCCAGAAGACAGGCCCTGAGGCAGCTCAGGAATGGGCTCTTCCCACTGACTCTATTGAGTCTTCTGGGTAACCCACGTTCAGGTCTGCCCTCTTCCTTTCTCATTGTGTATAGCCAGTTGTCATGAGCCATGTGTGGGCTGTGTGTGGACTATGTTGTGCATAGCCACTCTGTATTCTCCTGGCTAGATCTGAAGTACTTGGTCTGATGGCCTTAGATAATTATCACCATTCCTGCTGGTGAAGCCAGGTTACATCATGGGTAGACAGCTAGCTTGGAATTTAGCTGCCTTTAGATCAGGACCATATTTTTGGTCTGAGCCACTGGTTAAAAGATGCCTAGATGGTGGTTCCATTCTTAGTTTTTTGAGGAATCTCCATAGTGCTTTCCAAAGTGGTTGTACCAATTTGCAGTCCCACCAGCATCCATAAGAATGGAGTCCTAATTAGAATAAGATATACTCCATGCTTGTATAATGATATCTGAATGAATTCTAGTATCATGTATCACTAAAAAGAATCAATAAAAATAAAGAAAAAAAGAATAAACATGGAATTCCAAAATTTAAAAAATAAATAAAAGATGCATAAAATTGCTTCTTTGAAAAAGTTGGGGAGAGGTTGATCAAAGGGTGCCAAGTGACAGTGAGACAGGAGTAAGAAATTTTGGTGTACACAGTGCAATAGCATGACTACAGGCAATAATCATGTACTGTGTATTAAAAAAAAAACTAGAGAAATGATTTTACCCTAAAGAAATGATACAAGCTTGAGGATATAGTTTTAAAAAATTTTTGAGGATATATATTTAAAGATTAAACAATGTATTCATGTATGGAAACATCACAGATACACCTTATAACAGGTACAATTTTTATATATAACTTAAAAATTTAAAAAAAACTAAAAGGCAGTGAGGGTGGGTTGGGGGCTGCATAGTTTTTGTTAGAATAGACTGTTGGGTCAGGCAGGGACCCTGATAGACATGTCCAGTTTGTATAAATAAAATTCATAGTTATCATTGTGTTTAAGCCCTGAGGTGGGCACCTAGAGTGGAGGGAGGATATCCTTATCAATTCTGCATCCTGTGCCTTTCTGTCCTGCTTTGTCACTTCTCACTTTCTATTTAACAGCATATATATATATATATATATATATAGAGCTGGGTAGAGCCCAGGACTCAAGCATGCTAGGTAAGTGCTCTGCATCCCAAGTCCCAACAATAAATCTTTAACAGTGACAACATTACATCCATGTTCTTTTCTAACTCTCAGGTGAACATAATCTTGTGAATTTAGCAGGAGAGAGTTACTGTATTTTAAAACAAGAACTACACCGCTGAGAGAGGTTGCAGGGATTTAGATGTATTTTTTATTTTAAGTCCAGTGCAATTTATAGATCAAGAATGCTGCAATGCTGGAAAGCCTTGTAACTAGAAAATTTTATGTCTGAGTTACCTGCGCATGGTAGGTGTGCCTATTGTGTGAATCAAGAAATGACAGAATCCTGGGGAAAATGATAGGCCTTCTTCCCTGTGGAAAGCTCCCTTTTCTGAAGGGAGAATGTCATCAACATCAGAGCTTTTTCTCAAGTCACAGAGCTGCCACTTGCCAATTGAGAAGGAAGCTCTCTCTATTACACTTAGAGCAGGGAAGACATTGTGTAAGGGTCCACAGTTTTGGAAGCACATTGACTCCAGAGACAAAGTGAGGCAAGTTGGTATGTGAAGAATTACTTCCCTTTTCAATATGGCTTAGATTTTTCATCTTAAAGGAAAAAAATGAAAGTGCTATCTGTGCTTTATTAAATAGATGCCATGAGCCTCTGTGTATAAATAAAAGAGCCCTGTCTTAGCAGGATTCTAGCTCCTACCTGACCATGGGACCCACATAGTCTGGTGTGGTGGTCTTGGGGGCCCAAAGAAGGGGTTGTCTCCAGAGAGAAGGACATCAGCATTTCGGCTACCCTGAAATGAGGGTGGTGACTGCCAGCAGTTGGGGCAACTCATGTGGGAGTGGGAATAATAGGGGA